TCTATCTTTCTACTTCTCTCTAGGAGTGCCAAGTTAAATGAAAGACGATTAAATCAGATACAACTCGCAGAAGCCCAGAAGGGATCCAAAAGAAGCAGATGCTGCACTAATGCGATGTTTAGGACAGCTTACCGAAAGAACAGTATCTCATAAAAAAGACATACAAAGTCGTATTTACAGACTATAGAAAAGCTTTAAAGAGAATGAGCAATTCACCCTGCTTTAGCATGTCATACTTTACATAAGGCCTATTTAACTGGCGGCCCGCATGCCAAATGTGGCCCACGAAGGCCTAGCAAGTGGCCCGCTGATCATTGCAACTTGTTTGCGAGGTTAGGCAGTTATGTACAGGACGTGACGATTCTTTGGGTGAGCCCAGAACCAGAGCGTTATGTGTCGGCTCTGCATTTATGGAAGCCTCCTTGGATGGCGGAGAATGCGCATAATCTGCCCTGCCTTTCCTTGAGGGCTAACCGTTCCACAAAAGGCTGCCCCAAAGGGGGTAATCTGGGGGCAACACCTGTGGAGAAAGGGACAAAGAGGACACAACACAAATAAGGTAACGTCTTGACTCACACAAAACAATGGCCACAGTCATCCTAGAAATAGGCCTGACGTCTTCCCTCGAAGTCGGAGTACATCTGCCCGTGAGGCAGGGAACGGCAAAAGCCAGTAAAACGGTTGTACACGCAAAACTCAGGTCCAGGTAAAAGCCAAAAGTTCAAACGGACGATTAACCGGGACCTTCCACAGCCGGTGAACGAAGAAGAAGAAGAAGAATTGCAACTTGTATTGATTTAATAATCTCTCAATGCTTGGACTCGGGCTTCCTGGTCTGTGATGGTCTCCATTTGATAAATGTTGGCCCCTGAATAAACTTAGTTGAATAGCAATGTTTTACATGATATGCTTTTCACAAATCCTTTAGCCCCCGTACGGACTGGCAAGCATACCTTTAGCGGTCCTTTGGATATTTTCTCTAGTTAATGATTGTGTGTTGGGAAACCAACAGGCAGACAGTCTGGCTGGTTCTGTACCCTTTGATGGTAAGCTGATGCTTGCCAAGCTAGATATTGTTCTGGTCTTTGGGAGCAGGTGAACAGTGCGCAGGCACAAACAGATCATTATGGGCTGGTGAGAATGTTGCTGCATGGAGTGACCAGGAAATCTTATGGGAATGTTCTAGTGCTATGATGTTGATTCTTAATTCGCCATTCTCAACTATTTATTCTTTGTAAAACTTACGCCCGTCCTTTCCTAATGTTTCTATAACTCATTTATTCATTTAGTGTTAGTAATTGAATCCATTTACACCCATACGTGTCTTACTTAAAGTAACACATATTTATTGCAAGTTCAAGTTACGAGTTGTGAGTTATGACTTGTGATATGTGAGGTATTAGTTCTGAGGTATGAGTTGTGAGGTATTAGTTCTGAGGTATGAGTGGTGAGGTATTAGTTCTGAGGTATGAGTTGTGAGGTATTAGTTCTGGGGTATGAGTTGTGAGGTATGAGTTCTGAGGTATGAGTTGTGAGGTATTAGTTCTGAGGTATAAGTTGTGAGGTATGAGTTGTGAGGTATTAGTTCTGAGGTATGAGTTGTGAGGTATTAGTTCTGAGGTATGAGTTGTGAGGTATTATTTCTGAGGTATGAGTTGTGAGGTATGAGTGTAGGGTATTAGTTCTGAGGTATGCGTTGTGAGGTATGCGTTGTGAGGTATGAGTTGTGAGGTATGAGTTGTGAGGTATTAGTTCTGAGGTATGAGTTGTGAGGTATGCGTTGTGAGTTATGAGTTGTGAGGTATGAGTTGTGAGGTATTAGTTCTGAGGTATGAGTTGTGAGAAATGACTTGTGAGGCATGAGTTGTGTGGTATAAGTTGTAAGGTATGAGTTGTGTTATTGTGTTTGTTTGTTTTAGTATCCAGAAGCCATGAGTTTTTAACCCTTAGGCTCGGTACTATGGATATCGGCCTTGATTCCATTGTAAATACCGTAAATCTGGGAGAAATATGGTTTTTCTTCCTACCCCCGGAAGTGAACCCGGACCACAAGGAGCTCGTCACCCGGTCACCGCGCAATCCGGTTTAGCCAACTACGCTAGAGAGCCCGGCGTATGAGTTGTGAGATATGAGTTGTGAGATATGAATTATGAGGCATGAGATGACTTATCTTCACGGCTCTCCGGACATGCCTATATGAGCTCAGATTCCTTTTCTAACATATACATCAGCGTCTTGTAGTTAATAGTACCAGTCCTAGTTGACAAGTTCAAGTAATGCCTGTCTGGGACTGAAAGGGCTAAGACCAGAACAGCGAAACTGAGTGTTACTTCTATAGTGCGTTTACAAATTTGTGCTGTTGTATTTTCGGCATTTCACAGTAATTACTTATCATATGAGCGTGTGTGTGTGTGTGTGTGTGTGTGTGCGTGCGTGCGTGCGTGCGTGTGCGCACGCGTGCTAGATATTTTATTTTCACCTGGACGTTAATATTTTATACACGAATAATATTGAGACAGCCCATTTGCATCGAAACAGACGTTTTCTTTGTTATTTTCGATATTTGTTGATTTATAGTTATGTAGTAAACCAGTTTTACAGTACCGACATGAACTGCGAGTACAATAGAACTTAGAGGCGTTTCTGCATTTGTTTGCCACCAGGGCTAAGTCAACTATTGTTTCCCTACTAATGTATAATAATAATTAGCATACAACATATGTTACACCATTATACATTGTGGCATAATTGGGTTAAACGAGGTAGCGCACTCATTTCATAGCGTGTACCGACACCTTCAGTGCATCAATTATGTTCCTTTTTAGAGTTTTTGTAAAAACACCCGAGACGCGTTTTTGTGAAAGATCGATGACTTTTTGGCTGTATAGCTTTTAAAATGGAATCTAGCAAGCATGGTTACATATTTATATACCTCGAATAAGCAAGGATAATTCTAATAACTTGATATGAGGGAGAGGAAAAAATCAGACATAACTTTGAGTGGGAAGTAACTATGTAATCAAACATGATGACTCACCGTCATATTTAGGAGTAACTTTTGACCCAAGACTCAAGTGGAGAAAACAGATAGAAAAGACACAGAGCAAGGGACTTAAGAGAACCCAACTGATGAGGAAGTTAGCTGAAACAGACTGAGTGTCCTCAAGAGGACCTATACAGGCTATGTGAGGCCAACACTAGAATATGGAATAGCTACTTGGGGCACAGCAGCTAAATCAAATTTTTAGAAAGTCTCAGAGATCCAAAACCATGCTCTCGGATTTATGACAGGGGCAATGCGATTCACCCCAATATCAGACATGGAAACAATTACTGGTCTCCGTGATCTGGAAGATAGGAGAGACACAAAGCTCCTCGCCCAGTTCTCCAAATACCACCACTTTGAAGAACAACCCATGCACAGCCGACTGCAGAAACCCCAGAAGGCTAGACTAAAGGGAACCTGTTTTATAAAGAACGAAAATGCCAAGCTCGCTGTCCTCAAACTCCCTCCCATAATGCTCCACTTAAACCTCACAAAGACTGCCCCCTTGGCTTAGGGATAGCCTGCCAACAGTCAGAGCCACTGTAACAGGGATCTCCTACAAATCATCAATGAGCAGCACTGATATGAAATCAACTACAGAAGGAGAGATCAATAGACTTTATCCAGACCAGAGTTGGATTCGAGTGTATACAGATGGTTCAGCCAAGAGAGCAGTAAGAGCCGAAGGAGGAGGAATATACATAGAATGCCCACATGGTTTAAAAATCATCCATGCTGTACCAACAGGTTCATATTCCTACAATTACAGAGCAGAGACAGAAGCACTTCTGGCGCCATGTTCTTTCCTGAAAAGACAACAGCACAGCAAATATAGCAGAGTGGTCTTTCTGACTGATGCTATGTCAGTTCTACAAGCAATTGTTAACCCAAAAGACACTCAGTTTGTAGAATTGACGCAACAGATGATCACTTAGGCTCTTCAGTAGAACAATCTGTACTGCAGTGGATTCCAGGTCACTGTGGCTTGGAAGGCAATGAAATAGCGGACAGATTGGCCAGAAGCGGCAGTGACATAGTACAACCAAATAGCGACTTAACCCACCAAGAGACAAAAACATTAAAACAATCTAGTTTCCAAGAAAGGTGGCTGGATACACATCAAATTCTCTCCCTAAGACTCGCTTCATCGCCTCTCTAGAGAGGGACAGTGTATTATATTCAGACTAAGGACTGGGCACAACAAACTTCGTCAACATACGTTTAAAATTTTCGGTGTAGGAAACACAGACGCAATCTGGCCTGTTTCAAACACAACAAAGACAAAACTGTATGGTACGCGAAAGGATATGGACTGCACGATAACTTTAATACAGGTTATCGGCCTCTTGATATTAGTTTTTCTGACAGAAGGATCAAAGAAGAAGAAGAATAAAATGTAATTTCATCCATATATATATATATATATATATATATATATATATATATATATATATATATATATATATATATAAAATAATGGCATCCGTCAGCCCCGGGGGACTAAGGAGATGTGCCGCTGGCTTTGGGTACAGCATCTGCTGTGACTGTAAAGTCCGATGCGGGAATGGCAGCCTTTGCCACACAGGATACACACAAAAGCAGATACACCCTCGTTGTGAGGCAGTTTTACTCTCCGTTGTCTCCTCTCTATAGCTCGTTGTGTTCGGTTTCTTTCAAAATGTGACAGTCCGTCTTTCACTTTCTGTCTCCATAGTAGTCGATCTGCAGCTGATTTTTCCCATGTCTCTGTGACTATGTTGGTATCTATTAGGTCACGTTTGCATACATCTTTATAGCGCAGCTTTGGCCTTCCTGTAGGTCTATTCCCAGTTACCAATTCACCAATATATATAATTCCACCACAGCCAAAAGATAATTTTTTGAACATCTTTATTAATTTGTAAACGCCCTATAACATTGGGATGTCTCTTCTTTTTTCTTTTTTTTTTTCTAGGTGAATGGAACTCAACAGTTGTGGAGGGACTTTGGGTCAACTGCACACAATCAACTGTGATCCCCAACTCCTCGCAGGGATGTACCTCCAGTCACGGCAGGAGTGAGTGACTTTCTTATCTGTGCTTTTTCTCATTCTTTCCTCTTCTGCCTCTCAAATGATGACTGCACTGATTTGCTCTGCTTCTTTGCCACTGAAAAGGCAGTTAGCAAATCGTGTTTCCTTAACTGTTTAGCTGGAATATTTTAACAATATGCTCAACTGGAAAACAAAAATTCACTAAAGAAAGTGAATAAATTGTCTTCAACAATGCATTGTCTTCAACACGCATTGGAAGTAACCGGTGTGATTGCCAGATTTCTATAAAATGCTGTGACCAAAACTGAAAAAGCTAAAGAACACATGCGATAGTTGGAGTTCAAATGGAAACACATTTACACTTCATGCGTATTTTTTTTCTAGATTAAAAGGGTTATTCGGGCAGTTAGTACATTGTGTTGTGGTTTACGAGGCGGTGATATCTGTGCCTTTTGGCCCAACATATTCTATTTAAAAAAAAAAACAACTCTCAGTTGGTCCTCATTTACGACATACTTGTTATGTTGCACTTTTCTGCCGCCCCCCCCCCCCCGCCCCACCCGCCCTACTCTTCTAACACACGACCCCGGAAAGCACACAGGGATTACCATATTTCGTCTCTAGACAAATTCCAGAGTGAAGTACATTTATTACTTGAAGTAAGGTTATGAATATTTTACACCGCACCTCCTAGTTGGGGCTTGGTCAGATCGATGGCTACCCTTGGCGAGCCAGGCGATGTTTCTCTGTTAAGTTTGGGCTATATTTGTACCTGAACACTTAGCGGTGGTAACAAAGTGAACACATTTCTGGAGGCGGCTCCGACGTCGGTCTACACTAAAGCAGAGCTGCTTCTGAGTGACGAGTGCGAAATGCTCGCTTGATGCACCGCACACTTGCCAAGTATCCAGGTATGCTTAATAGTGTTACAGATCAAAGTCACCACTCCCGCCCAACAGCAACAAAGGACGCTGGATACATGTTGAACATCAAACAGAATTAATATATTTCAACACCAAGACAATGAATCCACATGAATTTCTATACTGATACAGTCATTCCTACTGGCAAGGCAACACACACTCCGGACGCTCTGGACGACTTCTACTGCCACCCTGTTCCGTGGTTAACAACGAGCAAACATTACCTGCTCGTGCAAACCCACTGCTCGTTAGTACGTGTCTGTCTCTATGACACCCATCCCTTGGGTACACTGTCACTAGAAAAGGCCGATGCTTGTAGACTATCCAGACCTTCCGTCTGCGGCCTGACACGTACTTGAGATCTCCCATCTCAGCACACGAGCTTCTGTCACGCTGGCCCGGCCTCTGCGGCATCTCTCGCCGATAGCCTGTATGCCTAACGCCAGCGTAACATGCGGGTGTGCAGGACTAGTCTGGCAACACCCAGACTAGAACCTACATCACCGCATCCTTCCTCTCCGGGGACTTGGAGCCAACCGTTTTTCTCTCTTTTCACATTGCGTTCAATGTGTCCTGCACTGCACCAAGTGTTTACGTTCAATAATGAACTTCCCTTTCATATACCCATATATTGCACACAACACTGAGGTCCCTGGTTAACATAGGTGACCATCTCAGTCTCTGAACGAGGCTCGACGTACAGACCTGGCCTTTTGAGTGACTATTCATCTTTAATGAGGCTGACTGTGGGTATGTCCGCTATCGGGTAGCTCTCTTGTCCCGAGAATCTCAACTGAGGGAAGCATCGCTTGGAAGCCGACGGGGTGTAGTGACTAGACGCTCGCCTGCGGATCAGAAGGTAAAGGATTCAGGTCATGACGGAGCCAGATTTTTTGTTTTACAAATGGCCTTGGCTCCCAGATAAACCCAGCCTTAAATGAGTAAAAGGTAAAGTCATGGAAAGTAAAGGCTACCGGAGTAATGTTATCCTCTTCACCCCCCCCCCCTCCTTCAAGTGCTGATTGGTTTATAAAATATAGATCTAGCCCTGTATGTTTAATATGCCTGAAGATGTGAAAAAGGGTCGTTTTACTTTTAACGCTTGCGTTAGTGTCAACTATTTGACGTCTAATTTTACATTTTGCACAATAAAACTATACAAAAGAGCCTTGAAAGTGTTCAAAAAGACTTTTCGGTTCTATCCCAATATATCCCCCCAAACAGCCAGTCAAATATTTTATATTTTAGGGGGGTGGTAAATAGGCTGCATGCAGTCGTGCGACCTAGGCTGCACTCTCTCGTGTGATGTAGGTGGGGTGGGCTAAGATTCAGATGTTTTTGGGGTAGTTAGAGGCATCAGAAAGCAGGGAAATCCGCTCTTACCACCCGCAAAAATATTGGACTGTTCTGGGACGGCATCCTGTGGGGGGGTGGGGGGGGGAGGAGAGTTCCGGAAAAGCAAAGACTTTTCTCATAGGAATAATCACCTTAAGTGGCTGCAGCAGCGGAGGAATGAGCATACATGGAAACGTCCAATGTGCAGTGACACTAACTGTGATAACATAACACAATTTAAGGGTAGGCCATTAGGATAGGTATGTGACGTAGGGATAATTGTCAGAAGCACACAGTTCACAACCTACTTCTTCTGCTTAAAGTCCATTCTGTGTGGCGTTGGTAGTCATGCTACTAGCCACAACCTTCTGTCTCGTTTACTTTCAGTCAACTCTGACACCATGATGTCAACCTGACCAGCATCTTTTCTCTCGGTCTCCCTCTGCTTCTCCTGTCCCCCAGCTTTCCTACTGTCACGATGTACTCCAGTTTTCTCCTTCTCATCATAAACAAAGAATGTAGATTGTCTGTTTCTTATGTGGGCAATCAGTTCTCTTCATAAATCAGTTTATTTCAAGACGTCTGCATTACTTTTTTTTTCTGTCCAGGGGATTCTCATCATTCGTCTATAAAACCACATCTCTACAGCTTCCAAAAAAGTAACAACCTACATTGTTGGTATATTCACATTGGAAACGTTCAAATGTACTAAAGTGTAGATTCTCTAAAACAACACATGCATTTTCTGACAGAAATGAAATCTGGCCCCTAGGGGCAACCATACACATATTAGTAAGCATTGATGTAGGCGTGAGGGACATTGTTCCTTTGACAGCGCTGTCATTGATGCTATTAATCATCATCAACATTAAAAGTCTCGCCGACTGGATTGGGCAATCATGCCTCTCCACAATCTGCGATCACCTGCAGCATCATCATAATTTTTTTTTTAACCATGTTTCTTTCCTTTCAGATTTGCAAAATGCTGTGATAGGGCTCCTGATATTTTCAGCGACCTTCGGCTTCCTTGCTTCCGTTCTCTCAGTCTGCGGTGTTTTCACCAACCCACTACCCAGAAAAATTTACTACTTCCATTCTGCGGGTGAAATTTGTTTCATATGTGGTACGTTATACTTGAAATTTATTTTGTTTGTAGTTCAAGAAATTTGTTTCATGTGTGGTATTTCACACTTGAAATTTGTTTAGTGTGTGGTATGTCTCTACTGAGAAATAAATACGTGTACAAGTGGGACATAAATAATACAGGTATTGAGGTAGACTTGTTGGAACAAAATGCCATGGATTTTGTGTGGAGGAAGTGAATTAGAATGAAGGAAGAAACTACTGCAGAAAGGATGAGAGCTGAGCGTCTGACAACAGACTAAACACAAATGTTGACAACAATAGTCCTGAAATCATATGCTGTGCTTGAGGAAGACTTTTTTTTTAACGCGGTGGGTCTTGCTAGTCAAACTATCATTGTCATACATGGGTTGTGAGTCCCCTACCCCTTCATAGCGCAGTATAGCACTATCATCTTGAAAAACGGAAAGGTGCCAGTCAATCGTGGTAGGTAGTGCTTGAAATGTTTTTACTGCTGGCTTGTGATGCTTGAAAAAAAAAAAAATAGGTTGAATGGGATATGCCCGGTTGGCCTGCCTTCAAAATAAAATTTTTAATAAATCTCAGGGTGTTAAGCCTTTGGTAGCAGACTGGAAAAAAACCAGATGGAAAAAAGAAAAAAAGTTATGGACGGAAATGAATGATGCAGGGAAGACAGCATTACCCGTGGAAGATGTACTTCTAAGGAAGATGGAGTACCTATGGGCATGTCCTGAGAAAGGTATTGGTATTGGATGACACAGGCCTGCTTGTCTGAAGTAAAGTAAAGGCTCCTTTACATGCGGAGGATGCATAGAGCATATCAGACTGCACTCATATTTTGATAGAACAATCATTGATGTGGTCAACGTCACACTGGTCACCTTTACGTTCCAGGATTTTATCTGGTGCCCATTTAAGGCTAAATCGACCTAGAAACGAAGGTCATGCTTGAAAAAAAAAAAAAAGATCAGCATCTACAAACGAGCATCTGGCAACTACACCATAATGGCTCCCGCCGGTTTGAAGGTACTGGGGTTGAATCTGCATTTGGGACATATTTGAATAATTTACTTGGGCTCTCAGACTGACCCAGGCTAAAATTAAATTGGAGCTTAATTAATATCCAATCCCAAGCAGGGGACATCCATAGGTCACGGGACAGTCAAATATTTCAGGGGGTGGCAGATAGGCTGCATGCAGCCGTGGGACCTAGGCTGCATGCAGTTGTGGGGCCTAGGTTGCACTCTCTCGTTGGATGTAGGTGGGTTGCTCTTAGGGCCAGTTCTAGATGTTTTGGGATCGTTAAAAGCATTTTAAAAAACCTGGAAACCCAGTCTTACCACCCTCTAAAATGTTGGACTGTCCTGTGACATCATATGTGGTAGGATATTAATAAAGCACCATGAAATTTTATGGGAAGTAAAGGAAGTTGGCATGGTGTTAACTGCATCAACTGTAGAGAGGCATTTGGTTCATAAATGTGGGTCTAATTTGATATGCCTGATTTCCCGTGTAGGATTCCGGTTCTCTATTCTGATGAAAACAAGAATAGACCCATTGCCTCCCCAACAAGCATGATGTAAAAGTCGACTAAATGGGAGCTCCTTTCAAAGTCGGAGTGCATCTGCCTGAGAAGCAAGGAACCAACAGTCTGTATACAAATAAGTCAGATGTGTAAAACTGATGTGCACACAACATTTAGGTTTTAGAACCAGACTAAAGTCCAGAGGTGAATGAACAACCAGACATTTCTGCCAGAGTTAATAACCGATGAAGGCAAAAAAGAAGATATGCCTGCTTCATCAGTGGGAGTGGGGGGGGGGGGGGGGGGGGGGATTTCCTTTTCCATTAGTTACTTTATCATAGGGCTATTCAACTGGATGCCCATAGGTCAAATCAAGTGGCCCTCAAATCACAAACAATTGTATTGTATTAGTAATCTTTCTATGCTTCTATTCCGTTTAATTCCACTTTTTTAAAAAAAATGCTCTACCATGTTTTCTATGCTGGAGTTTGCTCAGGAAAATAGGCTGGTCCTAAGACAGTGGTTGGAGTCCTTGAGTCAGTCAGGGCTGACAATTATCAGTTTCATATTCATGTTAGGGAACACCGGTATGCAAGGAAATAAGATGATAAACTTGCAGTAAAACTGCTGTGAATGGCTGACGAGCTATGGACCAGGCTGATTTACTCAAGGCTCTACAAGAAGTAAGATGATTGTGAAAACTAAGTGATGACTGTGAATCTGTAACCATGAAAAGACTGAGAGAACAGCATGTTAAAAGTTGTCTGGCCAGACAGGAATACTATGCAGAAAGCCAAAGAATAATAAAGAGAACCAACGCAGAACAGTTGTTTTCAGCTGCTATACATTCTGGGTAAATCCCAGAATGTTAGTTAGTATGTTACTAACTAACTAACTAACTAACATTCTGGGATTTACTGAGAAAGGAATCCTATCACTTATTGTTTGATGTGCGGTGAGAATAATCTGTCCACTAACTAACTAACTAACAAGCGGAAGGATAATGTCAGTAAATGGACGAACAGCAGCCTGAGAGAGTGTGTATCAATGAGATATACAGGGTGTTGGAGACCCATTTCAGCCAGCTCTTTGGGGGGAAATAGTGCCTCATTGACGGAATTTTTATTTCAGTGACCACATATGTCCTGATTTTGTTTTTTGTTTATCTGAACAGTCTATGTGTTTAATTTCCTACCCTGGGACTTGGGGAAGTATACTCTCCTCTTCTTCTTCTTTTGTCAGTATCTGCTTATGCCGCTAGGCATCACAGTTTATCAGACAATTGGCAGCCAAGCCAGGGGGCGCTCAGTTGCTTGACATGCCGTGATGTTATGCAGTCTCAAAGTGTCGGTGACATCTTCAATCCATCATCTTCTCTGTCTTCCCCTGCCTCTTGATGTTTCGATTTTCAGTTTGTACGCTCTTGCTCCTGGCATTGTTGATTTTATTCTCATTAGATGGCCAAACCATTTCATTCTTTGTTTCTCAATAAATTTTCTCAATAAAGTATACTAGCCTTTTTCATATTTCATTAAAACATCTACACAATGAATAAAACTACACTCGTCAAAGTCAGATAACAAAACATCTAAAATCCCTTTTATTGTTTTTTCAATAAATATTACATAAATGTTTGGAATACAGTTATCATTCAACATACTTCTGTTTTACTTGTAGATTGTTTGTTGAGCCTAAAGATGTTTATCTTGAGCCTAAAGATGTTTATGCTGAGCCTAAGAATGTTTTGCTGTTTACTTCCACAGCCCTCAGTGCCAGTGTTGCCTTGATTGTCTTCCCAATAGCTGTAGAACTTGATGACACAATACACTCACGCCAGTACGGGGTCGGCTACGGCCTCGGCTGGGTTGGAACTCTCTTCTTTGTCGCTGCTGCCATATGTATGAGCCTTGACGATTTAGTCCGGGAGTCTTCTAGAGCCAAATGCTGCCAGTGGTGCTGGCGAAGTCACCAAACAAACGGAAGTGAGCTGCGCCAGGTTTGACAGTGGCACATCCTAGGAGAGGAGTGACTTTAATTTAGCCTGGAGTATATTTGAAATTGCCTTTATTAAGTGAATTTGGTGTACAGTCTTACAATTGCGTTTTTATACATAAGATAAACTGAATTATTGGGGAAAGAAACCAAAGGTGGGGGTGGGGGGAGGATGATTGTGGAGACCAAGGGGAGAATTATTGTGGAGATCAGGGTGGGGTGGGGGGGGGGGGGGTGCGCGGGAGGGCTATAAGGGGGAAAATTTTTGTGGAGGCTGGGGGGGGGGGGGGTGATTGTGAAAAACAAGGGCAGAATTAATGTTGAGAGAGTGATTGTGAAGACCAAGGGGGAGAATGATTGTAGAGACCAGGATGCTGGCTGTAAAGGGGGAGAATGATTGTGGACATAAAGGGTGTGGGGGAATGATTGTGGAGACCAGGATGGGGATTGGGGGAGATTGATTGTGGAGAAAAAGTTGGGATAATGCTTGTGGAGGCTAAGGGAGCTGGACTCGTTCAATAAAACTAAAAAAAGGAGAAAGCTTGCAGAGATTAAGGGAGGGGAAGGTAACGCTTGCAATTATGAGAGATAAAGAATAAAATGTTTGCTGATTTTCAGAAAAACAATTTATTTCTATTAAAAGAATTATATGTCAGCCATTTATAGCAAATATCTCAGTATGAATGTCAAGTTAAAATATTTTAAACTAAAAATATGACATTATAAGAACTTATCGTAATTGTTTTTCCTTCAGAAACAGTATTCTTAGTCATTAGATCATCCCCACCAAAGTTCCAGACTTTGGTCCCATAATTGTACACATTTCCTTTGTAGCGACTGACGTCGAAGGTTCCATAGAATACCAGAGCTTTTTTCTCCCAGCCTTCGGAAGGTGTTCCATGCAAAACAGTGTAAGAGGAGCTTCTGCAGCTGAACCGTTATGAACAATGGGCTCTTATGTGGAAGACCCAGGTTTGAATCTTAAGTAAGGTTAGGGTTGTTTTTTTTTTGCCGAGAACAAAACTAAAATCCGAACCTGCAAAGTTGGTAGTGACTGCACTAGCCATGTAGTCCTACATCTTCTCTTCAAGCTCAGACCCCCCCCCCCCCCCCCCCCTCCCCCCTTTGTTTTTCTGTTGGTCTCCTTTCTCCTGCCTACACCCTAAAAGCTAAAAGTACAGGCAGTAATAGATAAAAAATAGAATATTTCAAGGTCAACATTGTTCATATGGGGGGGGGGGGGGGGGGGGGGGGGGAAGGGGACCAAAATGCACTGGAAGTGTCATCGAGGACTGTCCCATGTCTCAGGTGATGTCTATTACCTGGTCTCTGAAACTGGGTTGAGCCAAGAAAGCAACCTGAGGGGGAATTTAGACTGACGATAAACACAACTGCAGACATTACAAGACTACAGACAATACAAGACTACAGACACACAAGACTACAGACAATACAAGACTACAGACACACAAGACTACAGACAATACAAGACCACAGACACACAAGACTACAGACAATACAAGACTACAGACACACAAAACTACAGACAATACAAGAGTACAGACACACAAGACTACAGACAATACAAGACTACAGACATTACAAGACTACAGACAATACAAGACTACAGACATTACAAGACTACAGACACACAAGACTACAGACAATACAAGACTACAGACATTTCAAGACTACAGACAATACAAGACCACAGACATAAAAAGCTACAGACAATACAAGACCACAGACATTACAAAGACTACAGACATTACAAGACTACAGACATTACAAGACTATGGACATTACAAGACTACAGACATTACAATATTATGCACAATACAAAACTACATACATTAAAAGACTTCTGAAAATACAAAACTACAGACATTACAAGACTACAGACAATACAAGACTACAGACATTACAAGACTACAGACAATACAAGACTACAGACATTACAAGACTACAGACATTACAAGACTACAGACATTACAAGACTGCAGACATTACAAGAATATGGACAATAAAGACTACAGACATTACAAGACTACAGACAATAAAGGCTACAGACATTACAAGACTACAGACATTACAAGACTACAGACAATACAAAAAGGCTACAGACATTACAAGACTACAGACATTACAAGACTACAGACATTACAAGACTGCAGACATTACAAGAATATGGACAATAAAAACTACAGACATTACAAGACTACAGACATTTTATCTGCTACACTGGTCATAGAGAGTAAGTAATGTAAAGAGAAGGACTCTTTTACACACCCTCAGGCATATTTGGCAGATTAGGCTATGCTTATAAAGAGAGATCATGGTTGCCATAATTTCACCATTTTGTGAACATGTCCTCATTTTAGAGTATATCTGAGCATCTCCTTAAAATGGCGGATGTATGGCAACCCTAAGAGAGATTTAAAATGAAAAATGGACAGATTTACTTATTTATTTATTTATGCTGAAAGAATGGTTAAACTTTTCTTTTATACATTTTCTCAGTTTTAATACATGATAGAGGATTAACAAACAAAATGCAGAAAGGAAAAACATTATGGTAGGATGAACAACAAGTAGCACAATTATGAACATGAACAAATGTAAAATTTGAATGGAAGAAAGGAGAGAAACGGGTGAGAGTAAGAATGAGATTAAAAAATATAATGCAAAAATAAATATTTTATTCACAGTTTAAATATAAATGTCTCTATCATACATTTCTTTGCTTGACCTATGATAATTCAGTTATGTTTAACAATTTCATTCCTTTATACAATCTTTGGATATAACTATTTTAGCATGTTTAATAATTACTACAACTTTTTCCAAAATTATATTGTTCATGTTGGAACTGAGATGATTGTGATAAGTTTATGTTTTTAATTTAACCAGATAAATGGATTCTGCTCACTGTGATATACGGCACTCTTTGAAACTATCATGGTTGTAACTACTGTTTTTAGTATTTAAAACTATTCAACAATTATACAAATTCATAAACCACAGTGGTATGACTGTATAATAAGATTATCTGAGTTGTTCATAAAAAGATATCCAACACTTGCGATTGCACTTAGTCATCCCCTTGTCGGATGCAATTTTTTGTTATTTTGAAGCCCTACTTTGGCTCTTCCCGGAGCTGCAAAATAGCTGGGCCATAAATATGGTCTAATGGCTGAACGTGGTTTCTGGAACCTCTCCACGGGTGATCCTTATTCACACTGTGGCACTTTGTGTCGTTGGGTGTTTATCGCTTGTGTGATGTCCTAGTATGGTAAAATGTACTACTGCTACTAAGATATCCAACCAAACATGAAGTAGAACTGGTCAGCTTCACATTATCCCAGTTATCAATGACAGGTGAACACTGCAGCTAGAAAACCTTCATCAGCACATGACATGAAAAGATAATGTTACAATTACAAACAATAATACACACAATCCCTCAGCGGAGGTTTCTCCAAGAAATATCTATATATCTGACCTGTTGAAGCTTTGAGACATGTGTGAATATGGGAACTGGATACTATAGTGCATTTACTAATTTGTGCCGGTTGATAATTTGATAATTTCTTGGTAATTATTAATCCTGGAAAATGTGATTTTTTTTGCATAACCTCCTATTTTCATCTTAACTGTAATATTTTATAAATAAATAATATTTAGACTGTAGTTGTATTGAAAAGGATGTTTTCTTTCATGTTGTTATCATTTGTATAATTTTAAATAGGTCAGAAAGCCAATTTTATACTACCGATGAGAATTAACCTAACTTCAACCCCATAAGTTACACCCATACAACTTGTGATGAAATTTTGAAATGATCCAAGACACTAATTTTATAGCATGTGTCAAAACTTTCAGTTCAGCAGTTGTGGGCCTATTCAAAAGTTTTGTAAAACTCAAGAAACACATGTTTTTTGTGTGAAAGAGATCAATTAGTTACACTTTAACTTTTTTGCTGTATAACTCTTAAAAGACAATCCAGCAAGGATCATTGTATTTTTATATACCTCAAGTAAGCAAAAATACATTCTAATTACTTGTTATGAGGGAACAAATATGACATAATGTTAAGAATAAAGTAAATATTATTTTTTAATTTCATCCATTTATATTTCCTACAGCTCAGATATATTTTTTCAACATTGTCACAGTTTTGTAAACGCACTATAGCTAGAAAGAGGTGTAACAGGCAAGGGTCATAAAAATATTATATTTATTTATTAGATATTTATTGTTATTAGATCTAAAAAAAAAAAAAGTAAAGTCGGGAGATGTGAACCAGCGTCATTGCACACGGTTATAAACCATAAGTGCTCTGCCACCAGTACGGACAGCTAATAAGAAACTGTCCGACTATGTCCCCATCCGCATGTAACTCCATAGTTACAGCGACGTTCCTCCATTTACCCTAGAGTGTTAAACTCTGGTATCCATTTCTCAGAGGCTGAGTAAACTCCGGGAACTGTTTTGAACACCAGCCGTGGGCTGCAGCGAGTCGCAGCTTGATTTGAAAGTGAGTCTCCTATCGGCTGCTCTAACGCAGCCCCATTTTTGGCGGAGATCTGCACCATATTTCATGAGTCGTGAGTTGGGTTATCTTCATGGCACTCTGGACATTTCTATTTGCGCTCAAATTTGCCTTCCCCCCTCCCCACCCCCACCCGACCAATAACCTTAAGTGTACTGGGACTAAAAGTGGCAGGTCTATGCTGGTTAACACTCTCCTCCTCTTCTTAGCATTCACTGACTGTAAAATCTGGCACAAAGATATAGTTATTCATCCACTTCTGGATTAGTCTTGTTCCAGAACTTGAGTATTGTGTGCACATCTGGGTTTACTGATCTGGCTTATTTGTATGCAGACTGTTGGTTCCTCACCTCTCAGACAGATGCATTCTGAATTTTAAAGAAAACACCTTAATTAGTCGCATTTTATGACTAGTTAAAAAAGAGACAGTGGGTTAAAGCAATCCACATAAGGAGCTA